TTCTGTGCTATACATATCCTCTTCTACCGCACCGAGCCGTTCATGTTCCTCGTACATCTCCAGCGCAGCTGCCGAGTTACGCTCCACGTCGTCCCTATCCCATTTACTGCTTCTTCTTCTGAGCCGGCTTGCTGGCCCCTAGATATCTCCTCCGCTGCTTGAGCATGTGGGCGTAAAGGATAGCCGAGCCTGCACACAAACGAGTTAGCCTCACGCATCTCCCCAAAATCGATTCCAATCAAACAAATCAGGCTATTACTCACCCGGACCATAAGCCGCCAACACCAGCGTCAGCCCAAAAGTATACCACGACGAGAGCTCATCCGCGGGGCCCCAGATAGCCGACAGGGTCATGGCGACCTCGCTGCTGATGCCCACGGGGTACAGCACCAGGAAGGCGCTGTAGCGAAGCCAGTGCAGCCAGGCGGGGACCGCGTCGATCTGCTTGAGCGCAAAGTACGAGTAGCGCATCACCTCGGTCAGACTCCACGCCACCAGCATCGTCGAGTAGAACACGTTGGTGTTGAGCTGCGGAAACGGGTAGCATATGCCCCATACGAGGAATAGGCGGCTGGCGACTTGCATGGCGGTCGTAAAGACGGGGGCGGGGACGACGCTGGGAGATGCCGGGTACGGTTAGTAATGGGGAGAGGAGGTGCGAGAGAATGGGGGGGGGCGGGGTGGAAAAGGGTGGGAGACGCACCGGTCAGAGCGTGCACGACCTCCATGATGGCGAAGGTCTGGGTGATGCGCGCAAAGTTGTCGACCACCAGCGGCACGAAGGGCGCCCCCTTCCACCCGAGCACGACGGCGACACGGCCGAGGATGGTGGCCCAGGCGACGGCGGAGGCGGCATTGTAGAGAATGAGGTAGGCCTTTTTGGGGCCGAAGCCGGTTTGTTTGGCCATCTTGGTGTTGTCGTCAAAGTGTCTGGGACCTCAATGGCGTGGTCTGGGTGTCTTGTGAAGTCTTGGGGATCGCACTTCGTAGAAAATTGTTGACTTCGAGGAATGGGGCTTTTGCTAGGTGGCCCCTGCCCGTCGTTCCGGTGCCCGCGGCACGTTGAGCCTACCACATGAGTTGACCAGGGATCACGGGCCGCTGAACCAGGCCCTGTTGGCTTGGCTCAGGGTATCCCGACTTTACACAAGGGGTTCAAGACGAAATTCATCACGATCAGAATTATGTATGTTAGAACGCTGCGTCGATTTAACAATCAAACTACAAAACGTTGGTCCCGAGTTAATATTCTCGAGCCTTTATTCATGATCCATACCCAAAGCGCAAATGCCTCTTTGCAAACCCACGCGTTTGCTCAACTCCTCGAAACGAAGGAGCAAGTCCCCGATGGGTATCATCAACATTTAACAATGGGTATCAAGAAACTGGGTATCAATCCTCCGCGACATTGTTCCAGCCGCTGCCCTGCAGCGCTGTCATTCGTTCGCCATGAACGGTTCCAACCACCAGCAATCACACACCAAGACGATGGTGCTCTTCCCCCTCCTTGCCCATTCTCACGCGTTCATCCGTGAGAAACGCGCTACTTCCTGGTAACAGCGCGCCAGAGGTCGCCAAACCCCTTGCCGCCGAACAGGAACTCCTTCGAGTGCCGGCCGCAGTAGCTGTTGGCGTTGACCTTCTTGGCCGAGACCGAGGATTCCCTTTTCAGGACCTCGGTGGAAGCCGGCGCCGACTCGGTCGAGTCGGTGCGGCCCCGCCAGTGCAGCGTGGTGGCGGTGGAAGACACGGTCGTGGGCGAGTCGCAGGAGCTGTCGCTCCTGGAGAAGGGACCGGATGCCTGAGGCTGCGGTGTTAGTCTCATGCTGGCTGAGGTAAGGCTCGGTACCTGAGGTACCTGGCTAGGCAAGAGGGGGAGACAAAGACATACCATGGTGCTAGCCGACTGGGGCGTGCCCTCATCGAGGCTTGTAGTGGCCCTGACGGGCCCAAGCTTCTGGGAGGTGGGAGTGTACGTGTGGGAAGGACCGTCCATCGGCGTAGGTATCAGAGGCAAGCCGCCCGGAGCTTGTTCAGAGACGGTTGTGTTGTTCGTACAACGAGATCAAGGTACCTTTGTGTGTACCAATGATCTAATTCGACTAAAGGACCCTTGACCCGATATGGGAGGTTGAGATGGTTTGCACTGCCACCACAAAGTGTGTGATGTGTGGTAGTATATGTGTGGGTGTGATAGGTATGTATGCGGGCGTGTGTGTGTGTGTGAACGGGATGGACCAGATCAGATGTCAAGAAAAAATGTGAGACGGAGTGGGATGACATTTGAAAACCAGGCCGAAATGGTCTCATTAAGAACTCACAGGCAGCAGGACAAGAAGTCGCTCACAGTCCTACCTTCGCCAACGACCTGCATGTCCGTGACATAACCGGCCAAACAGATTGGGAGTCATGGGTCCAAACTGGCCGCCTTTTCCGTGGAGATACATCGATTCCTCTTTCGTCTTGGTCTGGGCATTCCTGGGCGGCCCCCATCATGGCCCGCGTTTACCAACCTGAGCTTCCTCTGCGCCAACTTGTGCCAACCTAGCAGTGCCCAGCTCACCGGCTCTCGCTCGCTGGTCGTCTTATTCCCGACTTCCGACCGCCAGAGCCGCCGTGGCAGAGTTACGGCCCACCTCAACGTGTCCACGTGTAGAACTTGAGGAATGTGCCAATCGTCTTGGGTGCCCGTGGGAGTGGGGACGGCTCCGTATCCCTATAGGGCTGCATGGTTTCTAGACCAGTCATTAGTTGGGATACGGCGTCGCCGGGCTTACGTACGCATCATGCGGACGGCGCTGCGGGGAATTGTGGTTCGCAAACGAGAAACGAGGCGACGACGATCTGTGCCTGAGGATGACTCTCTCACCGTAATCCCGGGTATGGTGCCGGAAGGTAACATTCAGCCCCCGGATTAGCGCCGAGCTCATCCGATCTTGGAGGCAGAGCCTCAACTGGGGCTCCTCCACGAAATCGATATCTCCGTGTGCCCCACATCTCTTGTCGCGCTTTCGGCATACTGTATAGTATCACACGCGCTCCAGGGAAGATGCCCGTGGCATGTGCTATGGCATCCTCGAACGGTGCTTTTCGTCTCACATGACCCCCTTCTATCTAATTCTTGTCTAGCCGCACCGCCGGATTCCTTTGGATGAAGTTGAGGTCGACGGAGTGGCCAAGCAGTTCACGGATGTTTGACATGCCGTACTTGATCATTGTCGGCCTCTCCAAGCTCAAACCGAAACCGAACACTCTCATATCCTTGGGCAAACCCATTGCCTGGTTCTTATGTTAGCATCTTGACTCTTGTACCCCTGCTGCTATTGTCGTTAACATACCTCCAACATCTCGGGCCTGAAAATGCCCGAATTGCCGATCTCGATGAGCTTGTTGAGCCCCTTGTGGTACGAGAAAATCTCCATACTCGGCTCGGTGTAGGGGTTGTAGCTGCAGCCCACAGTCAGCAACCATACATGTCTCAGCTGCTGGACTGGAGAAACAACTCACGCCGGCTTGTAACGCAGATCAGTCACGCCCATCGCCCCGAAGAACATGTCCATGAACTCCATCAAACCGCCCAGGGTCAGCCCGTAATCAGCGATGACACCTTCGACATGATGGAACTCGCAGAGATGAGTGGCGTCCAAGGTCTCGTTTCTGTTCAGGAGTGAGTGCCCGAACTTTCTTGTCATGTGAGTGCGTCAATGATTTTTACCTGAAGACTCTGTCGATAGAAAAGTACCTAGCCGGCGGTACTCGCCCCTCTTTGTCTCGCTGGCCAGCTAGCTTCTGCAACATGGCGGCTGAGACGGAGGTTGTGTGTGTTCGGAGGACGAGTCTCGTCTGGAGTTAGCCAACACCACCGAGGCGGGAGACAATTACGCACCTTAGCGATTCGTCTTCGGACCATGGGTATCTGTACCCAATTGAGCCAAACTTTCCATCCTGGTGGATAGCTTTCACGTTGTGGAAATACGCCTCGTAGTCGGCTTTGTCTTCCGCGGATGCAGGCCCAGGCCTACCAGCCCTCACGGGGTCTGATACGTAAAAGGTGTCTTGTAGGTCGCGCGCAGGGTGTTGCTTGAACGAGTCAGAGTGAACGATAGAAAGGGTGAAGCTTTAAGCAGCATACCTGAGGGACGAACAGGGCGTCGAAGTTCTATATGCTCGCGAATTAGCAGCATCTCCAAATGTCAGGTATCGTGAACCACATACCCAGAATCCCGACTCGACAAACCGGTTTGTGGGCATCTCCGTAAAGCCCATCTCGAAGAAGATTTGCCTGCAAGACGACTCAAGAGTCAGTCGGCTTGATGCCAAGAGTACCCAAACCGCAAGGACAACGTACCTGAACTCCTGTCGCACCTTGTTCAGAGGGTGTAGAGCGCCAGCGTGTTGATCCGCACCCAACGCCTTGAAGTTGTACGGCTTGAAGGCGGCCGTCTTCCATGAGCCTGATGCTAGCATTTCGGCCGTGAGATCTGTCTCCTCCTTTACCAACTCGAGCGCGAACTTGGGCCCCTTGCTTATCCTGAAGGAGATAACCTTCTGCATATTTAGCAGCTTGCGCTTCTTCAAGTCGGCTACAATCTTGGCGTCGTGTGTCCGCTTTTCCTGGATGACCTTGAGCTGGTTCCGTGTTACATCGTCGATCGATTCGACCTGCCAGAAGTCAGCGTCCCAATTTCGCAAAGTATCGCGAGGTATAACCCACCAATGCAATGAGCTTTGCACCATCCTTCTTAATCCACTTCTCCTTGAAGGCTTTGCCCTGACCAAGTTTGGTCACCGTCTTGTCACCAATCTTGCTCTCGAGGTCCTGAATCGAGAGACCGTCCACGGCTTGGCGCACCGCCTCGAAGACACGGGCTTCGTGGCTGCCGTGGCTCACAATAATTTCAGCCTCGGGCTCCAGAAAAGCCTCTTCGCGCTCAACCTGCTCGTATGTGACCATAGACCGGGACGCGAGACGGTCTAGAGCAGCTTTGATCGATTTGAAGGGGACATCGGGAAAGGCTTCTGTGGACGAAATCAGGTCAGACTTGGACAGTGCCTGGAGGACCTCCGAGGGGAGGTCCTCGGTGGAATTGCTGCTTGTTGGCGCCATTTTACTGGTATTGCTGAGCTGCCGATTTGATCTTCACGAAACGTTGACTCAGACGCCAGAATCGCGGGGCACTTGGTGGTTTGGGCCCAAGACCCACCTTGCCGATAACAATTTTAGGCGGGGTTAAACTGCGCTCAGTAAATGCATATCTCCTTTATCAAGGGGCTGCATCGCATTGTCGAGGAACTAATCCGGAGTGCTTCTAATGTCTCAAAACATAAGCGTTCGCCTGCGAGGTTGGGGGATTGGGACAATAAGGATAAGATGGGAGAGTTCCTCTCATATTTAGTTGCGGATACCCTAACCAACGCAGGCCACTAATTATGCTAAGGCCATTCGTTTCAAACCTTAATTCTTCGGTGCAGGAGCATTAGGTAGTTACTTTACCTGGCTGAACGATTCCGATTCTGGCCGAATAAAATGGAATGCAGGTAATTAAGTACTCGCCAGAATTTATTGATCAATCTAATGATTCCTCGGGGTTGAGTCTCTTGTTTGTCCCGCATCTCTCACAACCACCACACCATCAGCCAGGCAGTAGGTTAAGGTGAGTGTTGACATACCACATACTGCCCCGGGGAAATCAAATTGACCCCGAAACCCCTAACAATACTTAACTGTCTATTGTCGATACCAACCGGCCTCTTTGTTCTCGCAACTCACGAGTAAGTTCGGGTACCCCACCCGTTGCCCCCAGCTGGGCATTTGTGGACGGAAGATAGGTACCTATAGGTTTTCAGAGCCTGGCTATAGAACTTTCAGGTTGTTTTCGCATTGCTTACAACGGCGGCTTCTTCAAGTCGAGAGGTCTGGAAAGTCCCCTAAGCTTGCCATAGACGTCATGCAAGCCGCAACCAGGTATTCTCACCTAGTACCTGTGTTGAGAACCAGGCGTCGGCTGATAGCAATACCAGAGCGCCGGTGATACTTGAGTTCTCCCAACCCCGATGTTCCGTGAAGAGGACAGGGCTGGGTCCAAGGCCGGAAGACACAAAGACGTTCTGACCCGGGTGAGCGTTTGGATCGTGGCCTTTCGCTTTTCACGTAGTCTCAGGCCAGACCGTCGTGACAAATACACCGCGTTGACGAGGTGGTGGAAAACCATGAATAGAGTCGCCGGCCCCTTGGAGCCAGGCGCTCGTGTATTAAAAGTTGTAAGTGGTGTATCCATGTACCGAAACGCTGTCCCGCCCCATCTGATGCAGCCTGCGCCTTCACATAATATGTCGTCCATGAGCCAAGGCGGCTGTCCGCCAAAACGCCGCAAGGTTTGCCACCTTGCCCAATACCCAAGAGCGGCCTGAATGATATAAGACGTATACCCGTCATTTACAGAAACAACCCCGCCCTGCGTCTCAAAACCGGGACGTCGCTTCTAATCCTGTGCGACGGTTTGCTGTCTTTTGTTAGGGCCCAGTCAGATTCAGAACCAGGCTCAAACTTACCGACAACCAGTCCATTCCCTCCTTGATGCCCGAGCCTTCTACTGCACTGCATGCCATAATGCTCCAGTTCCTGTCTCTGAGTTCGCCGAGCCGAAGGGCTTGCGAGATGTCGGCCGCACCCTTTGCCCCCGGCTGATCCTGCTTGTTGGCAAATACCAATAAGGCGGCATCCTTCAGTTCATCTTCGTTCAGCATGGCGGACAGTTCGTCCGCGGCCGTCTGCAGACGCTCAATATCAGTGGAGTCGACCACAAAGATGACCGCCGCGGTGTTGGCGTAATAACATCTCCAATACGGCCTGATGCTTGTTTGCCCACCCAAATCCCACACGTTGAAGTTCAGTTTCCCATATGTCACAGACTCGACGTTGAAACCGATCGTGGGTATCGTCGTTACTACTTCGCCGATCTGTACCCTGCGTAAGTCATCGGACACCGCCGAGGGGCTGCCATGGGAGTCGCACCTTTAGCCTGTATAGAAGCGTCGTCTTTCCGGCGTTGTCCTGAGGAGCGCGACAGTTCAGCTTGGGGGTGGTCAAAAGATGGCTAAGGGGTGAAGCGAACCAGGCCTAGGATCAGGATCCTAATCTCCTTCTTCGCCCAAACCCAGTTGGACAGCCATGACACAGTCTGACCCATTTTGAGGCGGTAGCGCTTGGATGTTTAGGTGCGTCGGTGAGAAAGGGGTTGGAGTAGGGCGTCGCGAACGGGACTGGTCCACTGACACGGCGGCGGAAAAGTCGAAACGGGAGCACTTGGTCTCGTGGACAGCGCAAAGAATCAAGGAAAACCTCAAATGTAAAACAAGGCAACACTCGCTCGTCAAGGACTCGTTGAACCTCTCAATCAGTTGGGAAGTGGAAGAAATTTTCGGTCTTCGTGGTTCATGCGACTTTGATTTCGCTGGTCAAAGAGGCTGCTCGGCTTGGAAATCGAGAGTGCACGGTCGCGTCCGATCGGCACTCGATTGGCAGGCGTCGACCGGGATCCTGCAAGGTTCCGATTCCAGACTCCTAGCCACATGAGTGCCGCGGTCCCGAAAAAAGCCACAGCTCTCCGCACGTGATTCAGCCACGATTCTGATTTCGGGCCCTAGCACGAGGAAATTCTGAGCGCACACCAAATATTCGAATCCAACCCACTTGAGGAACATCACGACATCGATACCGACTCGGAAACATCGACAACACCGTCAAAATGCCGGTACGTACTGGCGCTCCTCCACGATTTTGCCGCAGATTCCGCCTGCGATTTTGATTATCAATCCTTGCGGGAGAAGTCGAACGGAAGCTGGGGGAGGGGTGTTCAAGAGCCGGCATCATCGTAACCAGAGGCTAATCAATGCGATTATCAACAGAGCCACAAGACGTTCCGTATCAAGCAGAAGCTGGCCAAGGCCCAGAAGCAGAACCGTCCCATTCCCCAATGGATTCGGCTGCGCACCGGCAACACCATTAGGTACGATTTCTCCTCGACGACGACAGCGAGCTCCTCGTCTACTCCTACCGAAACACATGAATCACGCTGCCGGATACCGATAACATGATGCTGACACGGAACTTCCAACAGGTACAACGCCAAGCGCAGGCATTGGCGCAAGACCCGCCTCGGCCTCTAAATGCCCTCCCACTTCCTTCCTCATTCGACCCCAACAATCAGACCTCGACCCTCCCCACGGTCATTGCTGCTACTTCCCACCTGCTCCGGCAGCACCTTGTATCCCAGTCAACAACGATGGTGTTTGTTTCTCAACTGCCCGCCTACAACACGAATCACCTTTTCGAGGAATAGAAATGGAGCCATGACCAGTACCAGGAGGGGATGATGGGTAGATGGGTCAACTTGGGATTGGGATACGAAAGGGTGCAGGCGATGGCGACTGGGTTACTGGTTTTGCGAGTAAAGCGTTTTGGCCGGTTGGGATTCTTTGATTTGAGCTTGGCTGGGAAGTAAATGGGGGAAACTCGTTTCACTTTAACGGAGTATGCCATGGCATTTTAGGGTCAGGGGAAAAGGGAATGAGAGATGGCATTGAATGCCTTTGCACATGACGCGCGTTTCTGGCATACGGCATCTTGATTTCAGTGCGAGCGTGGCCCGGTCGAACCTGAAAGTAAATGCACCTGGAGTAAAGCTGTCGCCTGCTTTAGAGACTGGATATGACGTGTTGCTGCTGCCTGGCCGCGTCGGAAACTACGATTTGAACTGCGCGCAAGGTTGTCATGAGTGAAGTCAACTCAACGGACAAAACACCAGCCTGCGTTTCTTTGACTGACATTTGCAATCACCTGTACGGACTCGATTTACATAAAATGGGATGCCGGGTGTTTGGGAATAGGGCAGTGTTTATTTAGCAAGGGCTGTCCTGTCTAAGAATGAACTCGAGGCGGGAGGATCAGACCATCGTTGCGTCATGTATCCTCCTCGTTCCCTCTAGTGTGATCTCAAACTGTTTGTAACATCTGAGATGCAGCAGGCCCCGAAAGTGTCCCCAAATCATAGAAATACCAAAACCAGCCGCACTCAACGAAACCGAAACGCCAGGAGGGATGCGAGAGAAAGAGCCTTGAGTGGCGGGGTATAGCGGTTCATATCTGCTATGCGCACGTCCAAAACCGCGGTGCGATCAAGAGTGGGACTTTGCCGCACCCTCATCTTATCACACCTTAGCGGTCCTCCGCCCATTCGTTCTCACGACGAATCTGCTCCTCCTCTTCCGGAGTGAAGTCGTTCGTGATGTTGAAGGTCTTCCGGATCTCCTCCGGAGATTTTCCCTTGATCATATTGGCCACAGTCTTGCAGCCAACATCGAGCAGTGCCTTAATATCGAGATAATTCGCAGCCTATAAAATGAGTCAGTCAGTTAAGTCCGGGCTCCGAAGTCGGTGGGCGTGCTCGGTGAGGGTACTTACAAGAATTATCTCGAACAACATCTCCTGATCGACTTGCATAAACTTTTGATCCCACTCGTCGATGTCGGTAGTCTTCTTGCGATTGTTGTTGTCGTTATCATCGTCAGCCGACTGGGCAGCGTCGTTGCGGTGGTGCTCGCACCACTCGAAAACCTTGCGCAACACCGGGTCGTTGACGTTAGGGATCGGGACTGGGCTGTCCGCGACGGCCTCGTCGCCCAAGTCTTCGATTAGGTTCTTGATTAACATGGACCTCTCGGCCACGACACGATCTGCGATATGATATGGTTAGTTGGGCGGGGTGGGTAAGGTGCGGGGAGGAATCGAAGCGACTTACCGACTTGAATGCTCGATCCCTCATTGCTGGTCAAAGTGACCTTCTGAACCTTTTCGCCAGACATTTTGATTGTTGTATTTGTGAGAATACCTTCGTTAGATATTTGGGTAGGTGGTGGAAGGAAAGTGGTCCAACACTGCTGAAAATGTTGTTGGGTTAGAGTGGATGTTGGCTGGCAAGAAGAGCGATTGCTTGCGTTGAGTTGGTTGGAACGGGGAATGGGGAATCAGGTGAGAGCAAGGCGGGGCACAGTGTTTAAATAAGCTGCAACAGACCTTCCATCTGAAGTTTGCGTGGTTGGCAAGGAAATAATCAGATGCTTTGCACACAACAATACCCAGGCAATGACGAAGGACGAGAAGAAGGTGACGTTTTGACTGTTCTGACAATGCAAGATCGAAGGCGCTGAAGGCCCTCAAAGCGCGGTGGCGTTGCTGCTGCCTCGCAAAGTGGGGAGTCGGTGCACAGATCATTTTTAGCGTCTATGGTGGTGAACACTGGAGGTGGGTTTGTGGGGGCGGCTTTGTTGCCTGTCACCTGTACAAGCGCAGAGGCACAGTCTGCGGTAACTGTCCATGCTGCGATGGGGTTTGTATTCGGCCAGACAAAAGACATCAAACGGCCATTCATGCTCCCGATTGGTGATGCGACACACAACAGGACCCAACAAGGCCATAGAGTACTTCTAAAAGGAGAATCAAAGGTTTATTTCGAACGTGTTAGATCCATGTGGTTGAGCATGTTGATAGAGGTGGCTGCACGGCAGTTCAACTTCAATATCCTAGTTGCCGATGACGTCCTTTTTCATGGGCCTTGGGTCGCTGGTGTTTGAAGATCGTGATACGGACCGACCTGTCGTACCTCAGTGATTCCTCGGCCCCCATCAGGTAGTGAGCGAGTGGAAGTCCACAAGCGTTCTGGAACATCAGGGGGGAAAGCTTGGACCAGTTGCCCGATGCCCTGGGAGGAAATGTCCGGATCGGGGATTTGGGAATTCAGTTAGCGACCGAACGCGGTCGTGAGACGGATTCATTGGAGTCATGCGGGGATGCCGCCTACCCAGAAATATGCTGCTCGCAAACAGCCCAAGTTTGCCCGAAATTCAATCCCCAGGTTGGTTCCGTCCAATTTCTCCGTCTCTGAACGGATTCGCTGAAATCCTCTTTAGGAGGCCGCATAAACTCAAGCATGACCGGCATCAGCAGATCTTTTGGCTTAACTAACTAGTTAGTTAGTTAGCGCGCAACCATACCTTATCTAAGCTTCGTGGATCATCCCGTTTTTGGGAACGGGACCTGAAGAAGCTCAGAAGGCACAAATGCAAGCTGTCTTGCAGTCCCGATCCCTGTCGTAAACAGGGGGTCACCCCTCGAACCGTGGAACAACCACGTCGTCTACTGGTTCTTGCCGGCTCTTCCAGCGCTCCCAAGATTTGTGCCAGACCATTTTATTTCCCTGCTGCTCATTCCGTTCTTGCTTTTGTTCGCCACCATCTTCACGTTCGGGTTTCCCGATCATGACCTTCCCTCCTTGGCCCACTCGACGACGACTCAACCTTTCTTTCCCACCTGTTCCACCTGCCTGGTGATGCTCCCAGGCCAGCCAGCAACTGAGTCGCGTCTTGCCCCTCCCTCAGATCGGATGCATCGGATTTGCGGCAGCGAAATCTCCTTGCTGGTGCGACAGTTGGTAGATTAATAATATGTGGCGGAGAACATACCTCTTTCTGCTGCTGGTCCGGTTGTGGTTTGCTCTATCCCCGAGCTACCTCCACCCAGATGAGAACTTCCAGGGCCCCGAGGTCATCGCCGGTATGTGACAGGTCTCCTGTTTGACGTTGGACAGCGCATGGCGTGATTGCGCGACAGCCCCGGGCCGCGGCCTGCGGTTGCGCACCTGGGATCAACCAAGTCTCGGCGTCGCAATGCGCCTCGCTTGCCACTGTCCGCACGCGAGCCTCGTTCTCGCGAACAAGTTGCTGACTTGGAGGTGACACAGGGGAGATTTTCAGTTACCCCGTCCGACACACTTGGGAGTTCACGAGCGACAACCCGATTCGGAGCGTTTTCCCACTATGGCCGGTTTACGGACTCCCGATGCTCCTGCTCAGGTGGCTATGGATCGGCAATGGGAATGACGGGGAGATACCGCCCGTCGTCGTCTTTTGGACGTTGCGGGTGCTGATGTTTATTGTCGGCTTTGTGCTGGAGGACTGGGCGATTCACGAGCTTATCCAGTCGCAGCGGCATAGGCGCGTTGCCGTTCTTTTGGTCGCGTCGTCTTACATTACTTGGACATTCCAGACTCATACCTTTTCTAATTCTATCGAGACTCTGGTTGTGGCCTGGAGTTTGGTCCTTATTGAGCGCACTCTCGCTAGTCCGGTAGGCGCATTCCAGAGTGAAAGCTACAAGGCGAGACTGACTAACGGGAAACAGCAGCGCGGTTCGGTTCTTGCCTCGACGGTCCTCGGAATCGTCGTCGTTTTCGGAGTCTTCAACAGAATTACATTTCCCGCCTTCTTACTGATACCCGGGCTTCGGCTCCTACCTTACTACTGGAAAAAGTACGGGACCATTAACTTCAAGCTGGAACTATAGCTAACATATTGCAGCCCGCTATCGTTCGTCGCGATCGCGACAGCTGGGCTCTGCACCACCGCGCTGGCGATCACGCTTGATACCGCGTACTACACTCCCCATTCGATTTCTTGGTCCGACCTTCTCCGGAACCCGGTCCTTACTCCTCTTAACAACCTTCTTTACAACATTTCGCCGGCGAACCTTGCGAAACATGGGCTGCACCCGTGGTATCAGCATCTGTTGGTAAATTTGCCGCAGCTGCTGGGGCCTGCTACGATCCTCCTCTTTACGCGGCCCAAACGTTCCCTGCGCCTTTACTCTGCGATCTCGGGCATCGTCGTGCTCTCGCTATCTCAGCACCAGGAAGCCAGATTCCTCCTTCCGACCGTTCCCCTGATCTTGTCGTCTGTTCGCCTTCCGAAAAGCGAGAAGGTCCTGCGCATCTGGGCGGTGTCATGGATCATTTTCAACGCCATATTTGGGGTCCTCATGGGGGTCTATCACCAGGGAGGGATTATCTCTGCTCAGGTCTTTATGAGCAAGCAACCGGACGCGACCCAAGCAGTTTGGTGGAAGACATACATGCCACCAATTTGGCTGCTGAACGGGAAAAACGAGGTCTTGCGCACTCGTGATGTCATGGGCATGAAGGGGGAGACGCTCCTTGAGGAGCTGGGGCAGCTCGCAACTTGCGACACACCAGCGGACAGAAGAAACGCAGAGTATCTGAAGGAGAAGAACGGGACATATCTAATAGCGCCGCTATCTGCGAGCTGGTTGGACCCTTATCTCCCAAACAAGGGGCTGGAGGGGCTGAGATTTCGCGAGGTTTGGCGGCATCAGCAGCACCTGAATCTGGATGATTTAGATTTTGCAGAGGACGGCGTTTGGAATACCCTGTCTAGAGTTATTGGGCGGCGAGGTCTTGCTATCTGGAGAGTAACAAAAAGCTGTCCTGGGGTTAAGGGAAGATAGCGTCTAATATGGGCGGAGTTTTGATTTTAGCGCAATTCAACAACGTGATGAACCATCTCCTGAGTGGAATGATGGAAACATGTTTGAGACTTCCTACATATTTTGGGCACCCTGATGGCCGGCACTTGGCCCGCCGCGGCAAGGATGCTGACCTGCAGCGGCCCCCCGTGCTTGCTCGGCACAACCGAGCTCGGCGACCCACCTTCCAATGCTCCCAAAATTTGGGGAAAAGGTAGGACGACCTGCGGCGCTGGGCTAGTTTTCTGAACAAGAGCCGCTCTGCAAGCTCGCCCTTCACCCTCCGATTGCATTGTGCACGCAGCGATCAGCTACCACGATACTTCAACATGGGTGGGCTCAACCTCGAAGTTTTCAAGGTAAGGGAAGGTCAACACCGGCCGCCTTTCCCAATCCAATCTAAACCCAGCCCCTCCTCACCAACCAATTTACCCCCCCCCCCCCATAAACCCCGACCCAACCCCGACACACTGCTCACCACCACCCCCACCACAGTTCGGCATGTACGTCATGTTCCCCATCGGGATCATGTACTACTTCGGCACCAACCTCGACAGCCGCTTCTCCGTGCCCGACTTCTGGCCCAAGCCCGAGAACGCCAACAGGCTGCCGCTCGAGCGCGACGAGATCCACGCCGAGCTCGAGAGGCTGCGCGCCCGCCGCCTCTATCTGCGGGACCAGCGGCTGGCCGCCGAGGCGCGCGCCGCGGCGCTGAATCCGGGTGCGAATCAGGAGCAGGGCGGGCAGTCGGATGAGTAGGCTGCTCCTTCTTCTTGTCCTGGTGAGGAGGGGAGGGGGTGTTGGGTTGGTTTGGCAGTGGGTGATGGTTGTATGATTGGCGGGGTGGTGAGTGGTTGTTGGTTGGGGGAGGAGACTGGATGGTGGGTTTGGGAAATATGGCGTTTACGGAATCTTCGGCCGGACCATCTCGCCTCTCGAAAGCCCGGTTACGGCTGGCGCGGTTTATTCTACGATTGTACACTACATATACATCTATGGGGGTTTGTTTATGTCTATCAACCGTTCCAGAATTGTGCATCCAGACAGCCTCTATGTGTCCAGGTTCTCCTCTATCCTCGCCCACTCCTCGTCACTCATAGACCCCTTCGACACGTTCGAATACACTGCCTGTACCTCAGGGTACTCCCGCAGCGCCTCGAGCAAGTCCGTAAAGCTTTTCAGCTCCTCAGACGCATCCAACTCAGCCTTGGTGTCCTCGTTCGCCGTCCAGATGATATCCGAGCTTAAAATCTTCAGCCCAAACTTGGATCCCACCGTTTTGCACACCTGCATTGTCGCCGACGGCTGAGTCCAGACGATGATGTTCCCGTCGGCATCGTTTTCTAGGTCCTCTGCCCCGGCCTCGATCGCGTCATCCATGATCTGATCGACGTCTAGTCCGTTCTCGCCTTTCTCGAACACCACCCGCCCGAGGCGCGAGAAGAAGAATTTGGACGAGCTCGTCGACCCTTTCGCCTTCTTGACCATCTGGTTCAAGTCCTGTAACGCCCGAAGTTTGCTCTCCGTCTCGAGATCAACTATCAGCGCAATCGATGGCGGCATCATCGCTTCGAATGTGATGGAGTCGAGGGCGGCACCTCCGGACGACTTGCCCTGCCCGCGGGCAATGGCCCCTTCGATCTTGTCTTTGGGCACGCTGGCCTTCTTGGCCGCGTTTATGGCGGCGGCTAGTTGGGGGTTGTTGTTGGGGTCAGGGCCAAAGACTGCTCGTCGTGGTGTAAGTCTTCTAGGAGCTTGACGGTGCAGAAGAGGACGGCGTACGCTTTGAGTACAGGGTGATGTTCTTGGCGAAGATTGTGCGGGTGGCATTCTTTTTTGCGTCGTTGGCCGCCTTGTCATGGCGGATCTTGCTCCATTTGTTGTGGCCAGACCTGAGGGCTGGGCTGGAAACGAAGGTGCGGCGGCATTGCGCGCAGATAGAGGGGGAGGGAATCGCCGACCGAGTTAACGGCGCGAGAGGGCGTAAGAGGGTCGTCATTGGATCGGAACGGGTTTTGCACAGGTCGCAATTATGCCATTCGGGTCGGACCGTACAAACGAGAGTAGGGAATTGAACCGGCCGGGAATTCCCCGGGCGCCTTTTGTGATTACAAGTCTCCTTCTGAAGACCTGAGCAGCTCGGGAAGCGGGAGTTAGTTAAAGCTTTCCCCGTCGAATCTCGAAATTGATTTTAACGCTGCTTGCCGAGACGGCAGCTGGAGGACAGGGGTGTGGGATCTGCATGGGGCCCCTCATTCAGTTTATCATTGGCCTGGCACTGAGCTCCACCACATGGGACGCAATTGTGGGATGGCGCCCCTGACACGGGCCCAAGAGTTCCAGGTCCCTTCTCTTTTGGCACTTTACATTTCTGAGGATTGGGAAGAGTTACAACCCGGAACACGAAAAACCTCCGCAACACTAGTCCCCGATGGCATCAACGGCGGGCACGGATGAGCCCAGCACCGTAAATGGCGAAGCCCCACGGACATCCACAACAACAGCAGCAGCAGCAGCAGCAGCAGCAGCATCGAGCCCCAACCCCGAATTTGATGTCTCCAAACTCCAAGGACTGCCCTCTGAGCAACAGGAACTGCTTCTATTAAGCTTTGCCTCGGCTCTGAGCAAACATGTCCTCAGCCTCGACCCAGACGACTGCACGGCGCAGCAGTTCTACCTCAAGAAGGAGGTTTTTAAAATCATCAACCTCTCAGCCCCGCCTCCAACAAGAGTGATACGCAACACCTTGGGAAAATGTCTGGCACACATATTTGGCAAGGGGGATCGGAAGCTGCTATTCGAGACTGTCAGCGATTTATCGGGCATCATCTCGAGCGGGAAGTCGAAGAATGAGGGCGAGATCCGGACGAAGCATGCCGCCGTTGCGTGTCTGGGCGAGGTCTACGCCGCGGCGGGCGATAGTGCCATCAACCTACACCAACTCGCGTGTGCGGCGCTCCTGAAGCTCTTGAAGTCGTCTTCCAGCAATGCTGGCCTTCGCGCCGCTGTGTTTACAGCTTTCGGAAAGATCGCAACAATGCTGGGGGGGAGCTTGGACGAGAGCATCGCAAGGGATATCTGGAAGCAGGGCCGGAGCTATGCCACGAGCGACAAGGGGTCGCTTGTTGTCATCGCTGCATGCCGCTGCCTGCGCTCACTTCTACAGTCTACCCCTTATTTTCAGACGTCAAGCGACTTCGACAGTCTGCGGTCTTCCATGTTCAAGACGTTCGACTCGCCATCGGCCAACGTACGCTCTGCGGCTGCCGACTGTTTTGCCGAAGCACTGGTTCGAGGTTATTCCGAGTCTGCCGTTGGTGAAGCTCCGTTAGTCTTGCTCAAGAGAACGAAGTCCAAGGCTGTGAAGCGGCAGTCTATGCAAGTGGGCGGTCTGCAAGACGATGATGACCTCCCCCCGCGGCCAGAGAGCCCTGCGCCGACCAAGAAATCCCAGGTCCTGGCGTTGTCACTGGTCGATATGCTGAAAACCTTGTCGACACAATACGTTCGGATGTCCACATCGAACAAATCCAGAGCCGCAATCGCTGTCTGTTACGGCAATATGTTTCGGAAACTGGGGGAAAAGACGGTGGAGAACAACTACACACGGATTTTAGAGCACATGACAGTCGAGCTTTTGGGGCATAATACTATCACCAACAATCGGTACCGCCTGCTGATCTCCCGGCGAATGGTGGAAATTATCATTCAGGACATCATTGGGAAGAAGATTCTCGGGGAGTCGGGCCAGACTGGCGCCGCCAAGGCTCTCCTCAACGATGTCGTCAAGAATTACCCACAGGCACTCAAGGAGAAACCAGAACCCGCGAAACAAACACTGGTCGTTTCGCTAAGCGCCCTGGCCTCTTTGATAAATAGTCTGGGCTCAGCAGCCAACAGCTTTTCCGAAGGTTGTCGCGACGGCCTCCTTCAAGTCCTGCAACATCCGAGTTACACCGTTCAAGTGTACGCATCGTCATGTTTGAAGACATTCCTGCTCGCCTGCCCTCAGCAGCTTCTGCCCTGCCTTTCGGTGTGCATGAACAGCCTGAGCAGGGAACTGGGGCTTCTTGGTACCGGACGGGGCTCGCCTCGTAGGTGTCTCGGTTTTGCCCACGGTCTTGCTGCCGGTCTCAGCGCAAGCCCGCAGCGGCCGTTATATGGCTCCGTTGACATCAACAGCCGTGTGCTGACCATGTCGACGAATCTGCTCAAGTCTAGCGGCAGCTCCGAGCTGCGTGTGGCGAGCACACAGATTCAGGTTGCCTGGACCTTGATCGGGGGCCTTATGTCACTCGGACCCAACTTCGTCAAGATCCATCTCTCACAGCTTCTTCTCCTATGGAAGAATGCCCTGCCCAAGGTCCTGTCAAAGGACAGCTCAATCCACAGAAACTATCTGAATGCTTCCTTCTTAACACATGTCCGAGAATGTGCGCTTGGTTCCATCCTGGCGTTCCTCGAGTTCAACAGCCGCCTCCTAACTGTCGATGTCTCAAAGCGGATTGCGACCATGTTGCAAAGTACGGCAGCATTCCTAAAGACGCTTCCCTCGAAGAAAACGGCAGAAGACCTCAACGAAAGACTCACGCCGTCACTGCAACTCCAAGACCTGGAAACCATGGTCCAACGGAGGGTCCTTCAATGCTACACAAAATTGGTGAATATCAGCCCAGCTGGCGGCACCGAGGCACTCCTACAATCCAACCTCCTCACCCTAGCAATTTCTCTTTTTGCGGACCCGGATAATTACACCCCGAGTTCACTCAGCGCCTCCATCGCCAACACAGCTTCGACCTTTGAGTCTGTCTGGGATATAGGTGACACCTCTGGGTTTGGTGTGACCGGTATCGTACGGGGTTTCAACGTCAGGCCACTTCCGGGACAACACGAAAGCTCGGAGGACCGCACGCCCGCTGGCCGAGAATGACCAGAAGAACAAATTGAGAGGCTTTTGCTCTCACCCGTCTGTGGAACTCTGGAGCATGATGCGTCTGTCCTCTACATCGGTAGCGCCGACGGACCCAGCCTCCCAGACCCCGCGGCCACTGAAGTCGTGAACATGGCGATTCAACTCTTCGCTTTCGTCTTTCCGCTCACGCCGCCCAAGGTTCAGGAGAGCGTATTGGAGCAAGTGACGACCTTTGTCGCGGCTGGGTCGCTGCAACGAGACCCTGGGCGGAAGGCTGCCGTTAATGTCAACGTTGCCACCGCTCTTTTGTCGATCCTGCGCGTGGCAGTCAAGGAGACAAGGTCACCTCCAGGCGACGTGACCAACTCGGCCGTCGAGAAGCTCATCCAGGAGTTGCTTCGTGACTTCGTGCTGGACCGGGATCAGTACGTCCGCAGTATCGCCTACGAGGCGGTGGCTCGGTTGTGTGGCGTTTGTGGCAACGCCTTTACGAACCAAGAAATCAAGTATCTTGTCGATACCATCGTCGTCAACCGAGAACCCAGCGCTAGAGCGGGTTGTGCGATGGCCCTCGGCACTATCCAAGCCAAGATCGGCAGTATGGCGGCTGGGTACCATTTGAAGGCCATTCTCAACATTCTGTTGTCTCTATGCAATGACCCCCATCCTACTGTCCATTACTGGGCACTAGAAGCAGTTGCGCGGGTGGCGGACGCCTCTGGATTGGGATTTTCAAACTACGTCTCAGCCACCTTGGGAATGCTTGCCAACCTCTACTTCTCCGAAACACACAATCCCGAAGTGGCCTTACCCGCCTCTATGAACCTCGAGGTTGAGGCTTCTACATCCGCAGCAATCGCTCACTGCGTTGACTCGCTGATCAACGTCCTTGGTCCTGACCTGCAGGACTCAACCAAGTCAAGAGAACTCATTCTTACCCTTGTTGGATACTTCCAACAGGAAGATGATCTGGAAGTACGGAGAGCAAGCCTTGTGTGCTTGGAGCACCTCTCACTGTACGCTCCGGGATACATGAAATTTGAAGAGTACGTAAAGACGCTTCAAGGGTACCTCAGCTCCGAGAACACGGTCCTTCGAGACGTTGCCGTGGACGGCCTCCACAACCTCATGAAGCGAAACCCGTACGACGTTATTGAGGCAGCAGACCAGGGCTTTGAAGACCAGCTCTGGCTAGTGCTCGACTCGGACCCCAGCCATGACGGAATGCACAACACGCTCCGCAACTGGATGCGGCATACGTGTCTTGCAAACACAGCTGCCTGGCTCGCGCGGTTCCAGCATGTCCTCAAGATGACCCGGCCTAAGGACATCGTGAAGGAGACGACCATAACTAAAAAGTCGGGCACCGGTATTGATCTCCAAGACGAAGAAGTTGCCGGCTTCGCTGCTGCACCGGGCGCTACCAAGGATGAAAAGGACACCCTAAGCGGCCCTGACGTTGAGCCCCTGAGATGGCAAGTCACAACCTTTGCGATGGACTGCCTGAATGACATCTTCATTCTTGTCGCCAAGGACATTGCTACAAACGGCGAGTCCGTGGCGCAGGTCGCGCTCCAGGCCAAGATTGCCGATGTCGTTCGGATGGCCTTCTCAGCGTCAACCTCTGGGGTCGTTGAGCAAAGAATTTGGGGGCTCAAAATCATTGGCGCTGTGCTAAAAATGTTCGGCAAGACACCGGACCCAGATTTTGAAGAGGCCATGCTCCTCGAGCAGTATCAGGCTCAGATCAGTTCCGCCCTTACGCCCGCATTTGCTGCCGACTCTTCCCCTGAGCTGGCTGCTGAGGCCGTCAACGTCTGCGCTGGCTTCATCGCGACGGGCATCGTTAGGGATGTCGACCGGATGGGCAGGATTCTCAAGACCCTGGTGAGCTCACTTGAGAACTTCCAGACCGAGGATGAGAATGCAGGCATTGGTGACCTGAAGGGGTTGAGTTCCAATGCGCGGGTCATGGTCAAGATGGCCGTGTTTGGCGCCTGGGCTGAGCTCCAAGTTGCCAGTTCGGAACAGAAATACTTACTCGACGTGCTCAAACCACACATCGGCACCCTGACTCCCCTCTGGCTCGAGTCTCTCCGGGAGTTTGCCAGGCTACGCTTTGAGCCGGATATCTCCATGACCCTGGGACCACCGTCGCTTTCTGGGAGCCTGGACACGGTGTATGCGGCCCTCAACAGAGAAACACAGCTCAAGTTTTACCAGGACTCGTGGTTAAAACTGGTGGATGCTATCGCCAGCCTGATCGGGCAAGACAGCGAGTTTGTTTTCGACGCGCTGGATGGCAAGGAAGTCACGGGCCCCAACGTCAACGGCGGCTCTCGGGGTCTGGGCATCAACTACCGGGATGAGCCAGTGGCATTCTTTTTCGTGTTGTTTGGCATTGCCTTCGAGGCGCTGGCAACCAAGCCCGGGCAAAGCGAATCCCTCGCTACCCAGGAGCAGACACTCGCGATCCTCAGCGCGCTGAAGAAGATCCTACACCCGAGCGTATCTGGCCAAGCCATCTACCGCGAGGCCATCTTTTCCGAGACGATGGATCTCCTTGACCGTCTTGTTCTTACGGAAGGGCTTGACGTTCAAGGGGTGATCGTCGAAATCGCGAGGGATCTTTGCTTATCTCACCCAGCAGCTAGGAAGCAAGAGGAAGCTGACAATGGCGAACTGTCTGAGGATATTGAGCAACTTTTTGAGCTCACACGCATTATCGTTTTGGTCCTCTCCGGGCTTATCCCGAACCTGGGCGAGAGCCCGCAACCAATCCGCCACCAGATGACCGAGGAAGCAATCCTCCTCATCAAGACAGCACTCAATGCGCTTGTCGACGCCGCCGAAGTGTTCCCGGCGATCATTAAGACTGATCTGTATGCCTGCATCATCCACATCTTCGCGACTGTCCTCGCCACCCCTTCCTGCCAGGACGTGATCGTGCCTCAGTCCCTGCCGACCCTGAAGCGCTTCATCACGAGCATGTCCCTTTCCAGACAGGCCTCCGAGGAAGGCCACTCGCAGACAGACATCCAACTGCTCGGCTGCCTACGCCGGTTCCTCTCCATCTATCTCCACGCCCAGAAGCGCGAAGCGCCCACCTCCCTCACGTGCGTCAAGAACTGCCTGCTGGCACTCACGATCCTCTTTACGGGCGGCAAAAATCACCTCCCCGCCAGCGAGCCCCTGGTCGCTCGCTTCCTCGAGGAACTCCTCGACTGTCTCACGGACCGCATGGTATGTCCCACTCCGTCTCCCACCGCACAAACCCCCCCAACTAACGAACCCACTCACCCACCCAGACCGCCAAAATCGCCGCCTCCTGCCTACGCACCCTCCTCCTGCAACCCCAACCCACCCCCGCCGACCAATCCCTCGCGCGCCACCTCCTCCCGCGCCTCCTCGCCTTCACCACCGACACCAACCCCGAAGACCCAGAACAGGCGCGCGCGCTCGTGGCGCACGCCCTCTGCGGCTATGTCGGCGCGCTGGGCGGGACGGACCGCGCGCCCGTCGCCATGGCGCTGGTGCTGCCCGCGCTGCTGGCGCGCGCGCTGAGCGAGGGCGTGGTGGTCTATCGGGAGACGAGTGGACGGTTGCTGGAGCTGGCGTCGGCGGATCAGGTGGCGTTTCGCGGGGTGGTGGGCGGGATGAGCGAGGGGCAGAGGGGGTTTTTGGAGGAGGTTATTCGTTCGGGGAGGGAGGCGGGTGGTGCGGCTGGTGGTGTGGGGAGGGGGGAGAGTGGGGGGGTGAGGGAGCCGAGTATTGCGCTGAAGATGGATTTTGGGGGGTGAGTGTGGGTTTGGGCTGGGTTGGGTTTCGTAAACCCTTGCTAGGTGAGGTGTGGATAGATAGATGGAAAGGGTTGGTTGTTGTGGGTTGTGGGTTTAAATTAGAGCGGCCGTGAGCCGTGGATAACTTGTTTCGTTTTCTGTCTCCCTGCCCTTGTTTTCTATGTGACCCTGTCCCTCCCTCCGGCGCTATGCAACCCGTGTCTATGGCGCTCTGTACGCTTGAAAAAAGAAAAGAAAAGAAAAGATGCAAGAACCGGGCGCTGACTGATGAGTCCAGGAAAGAACAGCATCAGTTCGCCGCCAGAATCTCAGCCGCGTCCGGCCCCGGCGAGTAGTCGGACCGGCCGTTGTTCTTCTTGATCTCCTCGGCCTCCTTCGCCTGCTGGTCGGCCTCCTTCTGCCGCTGGTGGCTGATGTAGGTCGTGTACCGGATGGTGCCCAGCGTGAGCACGGCCATGAAGATGATGCCCAGCACCGACCGCCGGATCAGCACCCACCGCAGCCCCTCGATGTCCGACTTGGCGTCGCTGTTGAGCGTCACGCTGATCTTGTAGTTGATTTGTTGTATCTGTGGCGTCGGTTAGCTCCTTCTGCTCCGCAAGCAAGCGGATGGTTGATCAACAGGGAAGAGAGAAAGAGAAAAGCACGCACCCTACTCTCGAGCGACTTCTGCTCCTCGCGCACGGCCATGCGGCGGTCGTTAAACATGCCGCGGACGCTGTCCGTCAGGGTGAGCAGCTCCTGGTTGAGGCGCTGGGCAAGGATGTCGACCTCGTGCTGCAGCAGGGTGCGCTGCTGGCGCAGCTGCTCGTCGGCCACGCGGCGGTTGTTGTGCACCTCGGCGCCCAGCTCGCTGCACGCGGCGCGGAACAGGTACGTCTCGTTCTCCACGTCCGCCTTAGACACCAGCCCGGACTGCGCCACGTCCAGGTTCGACGCGAGCAGCTTGCGGATCGCCTTCATCGACAGGATCGCCTGCGGCAACGTGTATCCCCCTGTGGTGAGCTGCTTGACCAGCGTGTATGAGTCGAAGTGGTGGATGTAGGCGGTCGGGACTAGGTGGGGGGGCTTGGTGCTCGTGTCGTTGCGGCCGGTGTCGGTGGCGGGTTGAGGGGTTGGGTTGCTGGGCTGTTCGGAGGCGATGGTGTTAGGGGGTGGACCGGGTAAGGAGTCCGGTGGAGGGCCCATGTGTAGTATCTCATCCATGGGGCTGCCTTTCTTGGCTTGGGTGATAGGGTCGATGTCGCCTGGTGGGGGTAGCTCGATTGTCTTTGGAAGGTCGGGCTGGGAAGGGGAGGTCGTTTTCTGGCCCGACTCGGCAGACGGGGAGTGTGACGAGGTGGGGGACCCGCGAGATGGTGGTGGTTCTGTCGGCTGCGGTGTGGGTTTACTATGCGGTGTTTGTTCCCCCGTATTTTGCCCTTTTATTTGCCCTTTGGGGCCCCCCTCTTGCGTTTTTCCTCCCGCCTTCCCGTCCGGCCTCCCCTCAAGCAGCTTCCCGTCCGGTTTCCTGTCCGGCTTCTTTCCGGGTGCCTCCCCTTCGTTGTTCGGCAGTTGTGCGGGTGTCTCGACCTGTAAAGGCTCTATGCCCTTCCCAGCGCGCTTCGCAAAAGCAGGCTGCCTTCTCGCCGAAGCTGTCGTAAATGGAGTGGCATGTTGGCATGACTGCGGCCTTACTGAGGGGTTGCGGCGAGAGTTTCGGAGGGCTTGCGATGCTGTTGGCTCGGACAAGCGCCCGCCGGCGCGGCAGAGGTGTGGGTACAGGAATGTCAAGCGGTTTGTTGCCATGGCAGTTAGTTTGAGATTTGGGGACGGACTACGTTGTTGAGGGTTGTTACTAGTAGTACCAGCAGTGCGCTGGGTGACTGGGTAGCCCACCCGAGATTTCGGCTACCTAGGAAATCGCGATACCGGTTGCCCAAAACGCCGCAGAGCCGAGCTTGGCCGGTTGCTTGCAACCCTATGGGGTGGGGCCGTTATCGTAGATAGCAGCTCCAAGAAGCTCTTGGTCGGTATGCACGTAAGCGGGCTTAATTACATTGTTAATTAAATCAAGTAACCTGGGGAAAATGCATGCGTTTTGTAACTGGCAAAAAAACCTCCGCCTGAAGTCCCTACATTTGCCAACTTGACCCCTCCTAGGTAACCTTGGGAACAAACATTCATAGTTCATCCCGTCTTGCCGGAATTCGACAATTATTCAGTGTAACCCGACGGTGGACTTGGCTGCATGGATCAGACAAGATAGCCTGGCCGAGCCCGCAGAACTGCGGCTAATTACATGTCGGGTGCCTGTCTCGGCCCAATGCCCAATGGGAAGATCACCTCTGGGCACACTGGCAAAGCGATGACGACTGTTGGACCATCCCTGTCAGTTTCGGTGAAGCTCCGACCCTCGTACCAAATGTTTTGTTGCAGGTCAAAGAAGGTCCATCGATCGACCACAGCGAGTTGGGCATTGATTGATGAGGCAGCATTCCTCATTTTCAATTTTCTGATGCCTTAGCTGAGGGACCTTGCTTTTGATTCTGCCAATATTTGCATGACAACCTATCGATTGCGCATTCTCAATCCTCAACTGCTTTCCAACTACCTTACCAGACAACCAGACAATCAGAGCAGAGCTAGCCTGCACCTGCCCGACTGATTCATCATCGTCCCGCCTCTTTCCCGTCTCATCGCGTTTTACCAAGCCCTACGGCTGTTGGCTTCTTTAACAGTCTTAAACCGCTTAACCCAATCCTTGCCTGACACGAAATTCCTTCTCATCTCCCCCGTTTTATTTTGGTCCAGCTTTCATCACACGGGGCAGACAGCCGTTTGTTGGAGGGTCATCAAACCGTTCGTTTGCTTATTCGATTTTGCCTTAATACCTGCGCAGGTGCTCTTTGAGGTACGATATTTTAACAGACCCTACCTTATCCCCCTAGCTATCGACTCACAACCCATTGCTCTGTCTCTGTGAGTCTCGGGTGTCTCCCCTCACCAGACTGATACACCCGATATAACACCTACCTTTGTTTTATTTTTATTTTTCTCCTATAATTAAACGCAACTTATCAATCAACCTGACCGTTCAAGACTTACCTTCCCTCGATAGGGCCCTGTCAGCACTAACCGCCGTAAGCACACCGGTGGCCGTGTGGCATATCTCCCACATGGCCCCCTCACAATACGGTATGTTTATGTTTTCTTGTACGCATGCTTCAAAACCATGGAAAGCCAATTGACACCGAACGCAGATGCCAAAACCACGCACCCCCCTCTCATCGAGAGGTGCTCCAAGATAAAATCGTACACAACATCCCGGGCCACCTACCCCCAATCTTCCGCGTCTTCTACCGGAAACATCAGCATGCCGATAACCTTTCCAACCTCCCCCCGCTCCGGTACCCCTTTTAGTGTTCGTCCACGGGGCTGGGCGGCTCCCGTCGCCCAGTTCAGCCCCCTTGCTCACCAGTCTCACTCCCGATTGCGTCATGCCTGGCCGTGGACCTCCCAGGGTGCGGTGTCTCTGGGTTTGAGCCTCGAAACTGGGATGCTTACTCTGCAGACGCCATCATTGAGCTGCTCGAGACGGTGATCGAAGACCACCGCGATGCGGCGGGCGGGCAAGGCGTGGTTCTAATTGGCCATAGTATGGGGTCGTCCCTCGCTGCCCTGCTCGCCAACCCACGGAAGCCCAAGACATCACTCCACGAACATGTTCTGGGTCTGGTTGGCATATGCCCCACTGCAGGCCAGTTTCCTCCAGAGCGGGTCCGCATGATGCGGGCAGGGCTCTATATCCCCGAGTTCATCTTTAACCTGTGGAGAGCTTGGGACCGGCGCGGGGGGCTCGAGAGTCCGAGCGTGCACCGGTTTGTTGGGGCTGGTGCTGATGTCGAGACGAAGCGACTCCAGTACATGTACAACTTTCAAAGCAAGACACCCGTTTGGCGACGAATGGCGTGGGGCGCGCTGCCCAACTATTCGAACGGTGTACCTTCAAACGGGATAGCGACATTGGATGTCTGGGCAGGATTGAACATTCCCGTGTTCCTGGTCGGCGGGTTGGACGATCAAGTTGTGCCCCACGGAGAGGTCGACAAGATTGTATCGGTTCTCTCAGAGGGCAACTCCGAGGTTGGCTCAGAGGCAGGCGGTGATGCTGCGAAGAGCAGTAGCGAAGAAAGCATCCCCGCAAACGGCGGGGCAGGGCTTCCGCATCTACCTCAGCATCCGAAAAAAGTCGTGGTCAGCACCAAGCTGCCTAGCCCGGCAGGGCACGGCTTGCTGTACGCGGCATCGACAGTCCCCATCCTCGCCGGGCTCATCTCGGATTTTCTCTCGACCCACGTTACCGGACGCCTTTCTCTCGGGTGGCAGCTTCAGTATCTCTGCCGCGACGGGAAATGGGACGTCAAGAATCTCGAAAAGTGGCGCAACGTTGCCCCAGTTTCTGGGCCGATCGGCGGAGTGTTCCGGGCCATAAAGACGCTCCGGGAAGTCGACGAGGAGCATTGCCCGAGGGTATTCGTGGAAAAATGGGGGAAGGTCATCAAAGACGTTATCGACATATCACACGACAATCCCGTCTACAACCCGAACGGCCTTGACAAGGGCGGTGTTCACTACCACAAGTATGGCACGCTGTCCAAGGTGCCGCCAAATGAGACGGAAATCCGCGGGTTCGTCGAGCTGGTGGATAAGATCCGGGCAGAGCAGAAGGAGAAGGCCAGGGTGGAGGGGTGGGACGAGGGCTACGCTATTGGCGTGCATTGCCATTACGGGTTCAACCGGACAGGGTTTCTCGTGGCGTGCTACCTCGTCGAGCGGTGCGGGTTCACTGCGAAGGAGGCTATCGAGGCGTTTGCCAAGGCCAGGCCTAATGGGATCAGGCATGAGCATTTCCGGGACCGGCTGTATGTGCGGTACTCGGGAGTCAAGAGCGACGCATGAGTTTGTGCTCTGGGGTTTGCTTCCTTGGGTTTCCTTTTGGCGTGTTCGATAAGGGGTTTGGGACTCGGCAGTTGTATCGGCATTGGTATCGGTCGGTTGTGGTTTAGGATCGGACTCAACGGCATAGAGGATGGTCGCAAGAGGTTTCTCGTCTCAACATTGTCAAGCGTACTTTTTTTTGGTCTTTTTCATCTACATAGCAATTCGATACATAACATTTTGAGCGCCATAGATGGTTGCCCCCACAACAAAACCAAGTATACACAAGTCATACACGCCCTGAACCATCGCACCCTTATACGCACTCATGCACTCACTCATCCACACACCACACACCCACTTCCTCAACCCAACTTAACCCACCCACTCAACTCAACTCCCCCCGACTCGCCAACAACGCCGCCGCCGTATCCGCCCAAATCTCATACCTCTCCACCCGATCCTCCTCCGCATCAAACCCCAACACATACACAAACTCCTCCTCCCACCCCTGCCCTGTGGCCTTCCATGTAAACCGCGCCTTGCCCCGCACCACCACCTTCCGCGCCGCGTCGTCCACCACATACTCGGTGAAGTGCATCCCCTCGTGGCTCAGGCAGGTGGAGACGGCGTCCAGGTAGGCGTGCAGGCCGGCTGCGCCGTGGAAGGGGCGGCCGAGGAAGGGGAGGGCGGGGTGCGGGGTGCCGTGCTCGTGGATCAGGATGGAAGAGTGGTGGGGGGTGAAGTGCGTGGTGAGGAGTTGGGAGGAGGGGGTGTGGGTGCGGAAGGCGGTGGTGAAGGATTGCGCAGCGTTAAGGAGGGGGGTGGTGTTGGTGTTGGTCATTTTTGGGGGGGCTTTTTGGGGTTGGGTTTGGATTTGGGGGTTGGAGAAAAGGAGGGCTGGAAGAAGGGCGAGGTTATTGTAGAAGTGGGAAAGGGTTGATTGGTGACGGGGTGGGCGAGGTTGTCGATAGGGGGCTGTTGGAGTAAATACGCAGTCGCATAAAAGGGTGGGAGGGGACTCATCAAGAATGTCACCTCGGATGCCATCCATCGGCAGCCGCCCTCACACCCCCAAATTCCCCTGCTCCATCGACGTCATGCGCTGTGAGGGTCGCATCTGGGGTGCAGTAGAACCCCTGCTGCCTTGCCCATTCGGGGCTAGCATGGGCACCTTCCGGGCCATGCCGCAGCAGCAATAGCGGGACGGCTGGGACCCCGATTTAAACCGAGCGTGACCCCGACTTTCGGCTGCAGCTCTCCTGCCTGCACTCTCCGCCAGTTGCTGCACGTTTCTGACTACAACTACCGACGAGACCAACTTTGATCAGACGACGGCAGCAACACTTTTTGTCCTTGGTCATTTACCGGCGCCATGGTAAGCTTATAGTCACGAACCCTCCCTCAGTTGATGAATCATAATCCAAAAGAGTCATCCTCATTCTAACCTGCAACCATTCGCAGTCCCCCGGGTCAGAGCGGACACCGCTCCTGGCAGACCGCCCACGCAACTCCGAAGACTCGACCCGCCGCGCCGAGGAAGAAGATGCCGCTCTCCACGGCACCGCCATTACCCCCTCGACGCCCCGCCGCGCCTTGCGCGAGGTAGTCCTCTTCGCCTGGGCCCTCATCGCCACCGCCGCCGTCATCGTCCTCGCCGTTATCATCCAACACCACAACACCACCACCTCCCCCAACCCCTCCCCAGCCCCCACCCCCCATCGCCCCAGGCGATCCCTCCGCCGGCGAGGCCCTTACCTCTTCCGACACCACCACCCACCACCCAGAAACCCCAAAAACGCAACCTCATCTTCATGGTCTCCGACGGGATGGGTCCCGCCTCGCCTCTCTCTAACCCGCTCCTTCCGCCAACTCACCCAATCCCTGCCCATCGACGACGTGTTGACGCTGGACCGGCACTTCTGGGGCACGTCGCGCACGCGCTCGTCCAACAGCCTGGTGACGGACTCGGCCGCGGGCGCCACCGCCTTCTCGTGCGGCCGCAAGAGCTACAACGGCGCCATCAGCATGCTGCCGGGGCATAGGCCGTGCGGGTCCGTGCTGGAGGCGGCGAAGAGGAAGGGCTTGGCCACGGGGTTGGTGGTCACGACGGATGTTACCGATGCGACGCCCGCGTGCTTTGCCGCGCATGTGGATATGCGTATGCAGATGGATGAGATCGCGCTGCAGGAGGTGGGGGAAGGGGCCTTTGGGAAGGTCGAGTGGATTATCGATCCTGGGTAGGGGGGCGGTGTCCATTTCCTTGGGGAATGATACGAGTGGGAGCTGCAGGAAGGATGGGGTGGATGTGGTGGGGTTGGCGCAGGAGAAGCATGGCTGGGGGTATAAGGGGGACCGGGCCGGGTTTGATGAGCTAAGGGGCGGCAAGAATGTGAGCCTGCCGCTGCTGGGGCTGTTTGCGGACGCCGACGTGCCGTTCGAGATCGACCGCCGGAATATGGCCGATATCTACCCCAGCTTGAGCGAGATGGCGGCGACGGCGTTGACCGCCCTCGAGGAGGCCACCAAGGATAGCGACAAGGGCTTCTTCTTGATGATTGAGGGCAGCAGGATCGACCATGCCGGCCATTTCAACGACCCCGCTGCTCAGGTGCGTGAGGTGCTGGAGTACGACAAGACCTTTAAGCTGGTGCTGGAATTTCTGGAGAAGTCGGACACCGAGGGCGTCCTCGTGGCCACGAGCGACCACGAGACCGGCGGTCTCTCCACTGCTTGGCGTACGTTACCCCCACCCCCCTTAACCCCCTTTTTCTCGGTGTCACACCTGCTAACCCCCCTCCAGAAGCCCCCAACGAACTGCCCGTCTACAACTGGCACCCCTCCGTGCTCGCCCGGGCCAACGCCTCCACCGAGTACTGCTCCTTCCTGCTCAACGAGCACATCGCCTCCGCCGGGGACGAGTCGCAGCAGTCCCTCATCAACTGGATCAACGAGGAGCTCGCCGTGCGCCGCCTCGGCATCACCGACGCCCTCGAGATCGAGCTCAACGCTCTCGCCACAAACCCCGCCGCCGCCACCGTCATCTTCTCCAGCATGATCAGCTCGCGCGCCCGCGTCGGCTGGAGCACTCACGGCCATAGCGCCGTGGATGTGAATATCTACAGCTCGGGGGGCAAGGCGGCGGAGAAGATAAGGGGGAATGTGGAGAATACGGATGTGGGCAAGTTTTTGAGCGAGTATTTGGATGTGGATGTGGATGAGATTACGAAGGAGCTGGAGGATAAGTTGAAGGGGAGCAAGGTGTTTGAGGTGGAAGTGGAAGGGGATGCGGCCATGAGCGGGCATCCGGTGGAGTGGTTGAAGGATGCTGGGTTGTAGAGGCGTGGTTTGTCTGGGTCGAGCATGTAGTTGTGGAGTTGGAATGGGATTGTACGCGGCTGGTAGCGGTTGTGTCTCATGTTTTGTTGTTGTTCTCTTTTATTGCCTGCATGGAGCGAGACTTGCTATCTGGGTTTTATTAGAATGAATTATCTGTCTACCTCAGTCCCCGCCATAACAGTTAGTTCGCTCTCACACGGTTGGCTTACCGGAATGAGTTGACGAACGCCGCCATCCGCGACGGCCGCTCCACCTCCTTCATATTGCGATCCGCCGAGTGGCTGGTGGTCTGAGGTCAACGCAATTTACCAGTTACAGGTAAGAGAAGTGATGGTATGTTCGAGCGCAGCAACAGACAAACAGGCAACGATGAAAGGGGTAAGCAAACAACGCACAGATAACGATCTAGGAAATCTAACGAAATACAAAGGAGATGCCAACGCCCAGTAAAACAAAACGGAAAAGCCTAGAAAATTTCCAGCAACTCACAATGCCACTTAACGGTTGTACACCTCCATTCGGTACATGGGAGAGCCAGCCCTCCGGCCAACGGAAGTGAATTAATCCCGTCTCCGCTCCCGCCTGTTCTTCTGGGACTCTCTTCCGGAGTCTTTCAGCTGGGTTCCCGCGGTGGAAGGGACCCCGGCGAGGAAGTTTTGGAACCCCTCGCTGCGGTTCGAACGCACCGACTGCTGGGAACTCCGGGTTGAGGTCGCGCCAGAGCCCTGAGGTCGCGCCGAACGAGCCGGCTGCGTGCTGCCGGTGTCGAGAACGAACGGCAGCGTGGCGCTGCTGGTCCGGGTGGACGAGCTCTGGGGTCGCACCGGAGCCGGCCCCGGGCTGTTGGTGTCGAGAATGAATGGCAGCGTGGCACTGCTGGTCCGGGCGGACGAGCCCGGAGCTCCCTGTGGCGCGCTCGACTGCGGGCGGGAATCAATGAAAGTCACCAGCGAGTCCGTGTTTCTGGAGCGCGCCACGCTGCTGGCCTGGCCCTGGCGCGGACGGCCACTGCTAGGGCCGCCGCCGCCGCCGCCAGCGCTGGCAACGCTATTGCTACTGGAACGGTTTGAGGTTGGGGTTCCGGGGTAGCTATCGTGTCCGAACAAACATGTAGGAGGCGTGACCAGGCGCGGCGATAGGGCCACTGCTAGAGTAGTCCCGAGGGCGGGTTTCTTGTCTTCGTCGCCTTTCTCTGTCCGAGTCCTGGGAGTACACGGAGGAAGAGGACCGGGAGTCTCTGCCACTCATGGTGATGTTGTATGGCGGAAATGGTCTATCAGATAGGGACAGGCAGATGAATGAATAAATCAAAGATGGAAAGTTGTAATACGCTTTTGATTTGGTGATGGGCTTGCTTCTGAATGCTCGTCGAAGGGAGGATGGCTCGCCATTTATATGTCAGTGGTCGTAGCAAGTTTATCGAGCCTCTAGTCCTTCTCCTGAGAGTGAGTTCCAACCTTCGGCCCTGCCCGCCAGCCCTTTGGTATCTCAAACGAGGACCTGGCCGGCCGTGCTAGCAAGATAGTTTCAGTTGGCAGCTCATCGACGGCTGAAATGTGAGCGCCCGGGTCCGACCAGGCCAGATATCAATATTGACAACCACAAGGGTTAGGTTTGACAAGTACATGGGAAATGGCCACGGTCTCGAGAGTACGCTCGCCGGTACCTTCTTGATGGATAATAACTTCAGTTACAAGATGTACTCCAACGGCACGCCGAGACTCTCACCGCCATGACAATAAGTACAGGTACATCTCCCCGGGATAGTGACTAGGTGTCTCCCAGAACCGTGTGCCGCTTGGCGTCTCCGGCCCAATTCATGCTCTGAAAATAGACCTCGAGAGCATCATGACCCTGAAACAGAAACAGCACACCTGGGGTCAAGGCCACCCTCGGAAACCCCTTGAAGCAGCATAGCGGCCTAGAAGCCACAAGAGTCCTGGCCAACACACACACGCCATGCTGTGTCGTGAGTTCTGCCTTTGGGTATCTACGACTTCTCGGAGAACCGGCCGACAAGCACCGTTTGTGGTCTCGAGAACAACCAAGCTCCAACTCCCACGTTTTGTTGGGGATATTTTTATCATCGGCCTCGTGGCGTGCGGGCCGGCATTGCCTCAGGTGTGTCGGTGGGAGGTCTCATGAGGTGTTTGTTGGGTTGGCCCTCCGTCTCAGGTGTGGCCGTCAACGCCTGCCACGAAAATGCAACTAGGCGGCGTCATGTTTGGATAGTTTTCGTTGGTGGTCGAAAAGGGGGTGGGGTAAGAGCTTTGGCTGAGAGGCTATGAGTTCGAAGATCGCTGTGGAAGCACGAAGCGGGTATTAACTAACCAACCACCCCATTCTCCTTGGCTGATGAATCCAAAACCCCAGCAATTAACTCATCAGTTCTGATGGAAACACAGCCCGAGTCGAAAACCCGAGCTTTTTACATCATTCATCACCGAGCAGCCCGCTTTCCCCCCAGACAAACAAATCACCATCATGGGCGACGTTGACAGTTTGAACGACAAGCCCCCCGCTAGCAGCAACATCGACAAGCGAGACAGGGAATACGGCATGTTCCAGGATCCTCTCGTGGTGAAACAGAACAAAGAGATTGAAAGTGGTTTGCAGAAGCAACTAGACGCCTTCTTCGAGGAGGTGCGGCATCGTGAAATCTACGAATTCATCATCAAGCATCGCCCTGGGAAACCTGTGCGAGCTGGGCCCAGACTGCGCGGAAGTTACAATGCCATTATCCCCCTCGAGTACACCGACGGAAGCGCAGCTTTGCGGGTGCGCCTCCCTGGCCAAACCGCATTCCCGGACGAGGCAGTCCGTGTGGAGGTTGCCACGTTGCGCTACATCGAGAAGATGACCTCGATACCCGTCCCGCATGTCTATCATTGGGGGACCGCAGCGGAGAATCCCTTGGGGCTCGGTCCCTATATCATCATGGATTACATTCCCCACGAAAACAGCCTGGAAGACCTCCTCAGGGACCCGACCGTTCCTGATTACAAAGGAGACCTAGATCCCAACATCCCCAGGGATAAGCTCGAGCGCCTGTATAGGCAAGCCGCGAACGTCATCCTGCAGCTTTCCAAATTGGAAATGCCCAAGATTGGCTCTCTCCAGCAGCAAGGGGATTCCTTCGGCATCGGCAGCCGGCCTCTGACGCAGGACCTGAACGATCTCGTTGTCCAGGGCGGAATCCCACCCTCCACACTCCCTCCCGAAAACGCCACCTATTCGACCTCAGACGAGTGGTACGCGGCGCTCGCCGACATCCACTTCGCCCACTTAACCTTTCAACGCAACAAAGCCATCGTTTCGGCAGACGACTGTCGCGATAAATTTGTGGCGCGGCACCTCTTCCGGCAGCAATTGCGCCAGGGCAAGCTTTTCGACGCCACTGGCATAACAGCCAGCTCGGGAGGGACCGGTGGACGCTCCAGCAAAACGCCATCCCCGAAAAAAGCAAGAAAGGAAACATTCCCCCTCTGCATGGACGATTTCCGGCCGAGCAACATCCTCCTCGACGCCGACCTCAACATCGTCGGCGTGATCGACTGGGAGTGGACATATTTTGCGCCGCGCGCTTTCGCCCGCGACCCTCCTTGGTGGCTGCTCCTGGAGCGGCTCGAGTACTGGCCGAAGAGCATCCTGAATTTCCTGGAGAAGTACGCTAGCGCGCTCGAGGTGTTCCTCGACGCCCTCCGCGCCGAGGAGGATCTGGCGACGCAGCAGCAGGACGAGGGGTGGTCCATCGACCGGCATATTGAGGCGCTTAGCCTTGACGTGGTGCCGTTGTCGGAGCGGATGAAGCAGAGTTGGGAATCGGGGGCGTTTTGGGCCAACTATGCTGCGCGGAAATGTTATGGCTTTGAGCCGGCCTTTTGGGAATTTCTGGATGAGCGGTTCTTTGGAGCGAATGTGGAGGGTGGGTATGAGGGGAGGATGAACCTGCTGTCGGCGAAGGTAAAGAAGCGTATGGAGTGGTTTGTCGAGAGGAAGGTGGAAGGGAGCAAAGAGCAAAAAATCGTAGATTGGGACCCTGAAGAGGCAAGGGCCTATCCAGCCGAGATACTCGCCGATCTTGACTAGGCCACCGCTCATGAATGTTGAGATACACAACCGACTACCTAGCATTAGAGACCGTAGCTGAGCGACATTAGTCTGAAAAGTCAGACTCGTGCAGCTCGTCTGGGTCCAACCGATAGTTGATGTCGAATCGGCCCCTGAACAGGTCCCACAACGCAGTGGTCACCTTCGCTTCTTCCTCGTCGGTGAACTTGGAGTCGTAATTTTGATTGGAGATCCAGACTTGCAACCCGTCGTGTTTGCCTTTCGGGTCTGCCGCAAGCTTTTCTAGAAACTCCAAAACCACGTCGGGTGAGATAACTGAGGGCCCAAATATGTTGAGCGACTTTAGTTTCGAAAGGCGTGATAGAGGTGTCAGAAACTCGTTATCGATGAGGTCTCCGTTCAGGACGATCTCCTCCAACTGAGGCAGCGACTCGCATATATGTTCAATCTCTTCAAGGCTGAAGAGTTCGTTAGTGTCTAGCTCGCGTAGCTCGTGGCAGCAGGCAACGGCATTGGCCAGCATGGTATGCCGTTCGTCGTCGGACTCGAGCAGGTCTTCGTCCCTGATCTTGACTGCCAGATGTCGGAGGTCTTGCTGTTTGAGCAAAGACAAACAGAATTCCTTATCGAGGTCAAACGTCAAAAGACTGAGGCTCGTCAAACGAATAACCGGTGACTTCAGGACCTCGGCGAGTATTGTGGTTGAGGTGGGGACGACTGTGAACTCCAGCTCGCGAAGGGCAGTGCATTGCTGTAGCCACTGCACCACTTCTTGAAAAGCTGGTTTGCATTCAATCTCCCACAAATAACGCCGGGCGCTGGGTGCGCCCTCTAGTCTGAGCGATTCGAGGGAGAGGCAGTGTTGCAGCTCATTCAACGCCTGAAAAGCAGCCCGTTCGAGGCTGAACAGACTGAGGGATTTCAAAGAGCTAGAATGTTCGCCCAGAGCCTTGAAGGTCTGCCTGCCGATCTCATTCATGCTTAGAATGGTGAATGATACTGCGAAGCTTTGTCAATAACCCCTGAACCCCTGTTGTTACCGTCCCTTATCCGACCCTGCAACGTACCTAGGGTGTTGGGCTCAAGGTTCCGGAAGAAGCCAGCCAAGTCTTCATCAAGGTCCGTTCCTGAGCAAAAGAAACACTCTCTGAATAGGCAGCAGTAGCCCAACAATCAGTATGGGATATCGCACACTCGCAAACATACTAATGCCATATCAGGGTTAGGGTTAACTTACAGGTCCCTGAAAGCCGGACAATTGGCTCGGATGGCGCGAGCCACGTCGCTGTTGAGCACGGAGCCGTCGCGGACGGAAAGCGACGTCAAGCTGGATAGGCTCGATACCCATTTGGGTAGGTTGGCGGTGGGCAAGTAGTTGCCCTCGAGTGCGGTGAGGGCTACCCGCTTGCTTTCCTGAGCGGCTGACGTTCGGATACACTCGGTCACCAGGTTGGCGACCTCGATGATGATAGCCTCGAGATCGAGCGCCCTCCCACGGCCACGACGAATTTGGAGCTTCTCAAGGGGCGGGCTGAAGAAACTAGCCTTGAGCCCCGGGTTGTCACGGGCAAGATCCTCTAGCTGCGAGTGAAGGTTGCCGAGCTTCAGGGCCTTGATCCAGCAGCAGTATGGGAAGAGCGTCCTGCCGAGGCTCGACGCGATGATGGAACGCCAGAGACATATCGATGTCTCAATGTCCAGGATGTGGGCGTTTATGGCGGGTGATTGGTCGTGGATCGCGTATAGCTCCGGTAACGCCAGTCTGGCGATGCCTTTGCCCAAGCGGGCACAGAGGAAAAGACCGCCAAAGTCGCGCCGATTCGCAAACTCTTGAGAAACGAGCCACCATATCTCCTGCGGGAAGCTCTGACCAGTTTGTCTTTCCATTGCAGAGTATCGCCGGGGTCGGATGGAGCCGGCGGGGTGGCAACTTGTGGATGACCGGGGTGTCCAAAGACCGTGTTTAATAAACGTATGGCGACGCGTCGAGCAGTTGACATTCGTTGAATTGGTTTCTCGGAGGATGATAATAACTATCGCGTCCAGGCAGCTTCAACCATCCAACAATGTAAATAAAAAGTCAATTGATTTCGCCACTGAGCAAGATGGTTAAAAAAATATGCTGTGTTATGTATGATGTATCTGATAAATGTTTGTTGATGAATGGAATGAATCCAGGTTTCAAAGTCGCCTGCTTGACGCGTTGGCAGCTGTGAGCCGCTCAGTGCCGGCGGGCTTAACTCGGCTGGAGCCGACTCTGCCTGATCCACTGGGGACCAAGTCAGCCCAGCACGTTCGGCATTGTAACAGGGCGCCATTTTCCACTGTATCCAGTGGTTCCTTCCGTTTTCGACTCCATGCTGTCCCGAATTGGGCTGTCTTGGTCATCACCGTTCTCGTCCTAAAGAAGGTAACACCTCGCCTTCTTTCCGCACCTACTACGAAACATAAACCTGGCTTCGTTAGGTACCTACCCCAAAGAGTCAACGACTCGGCAAATACTGTATTGGCCCGGAATCTACTGAGCGATTAAATCCACCACGGTAGAAGAATCCGCCATGGTGGTCCTCAACTTCACGTTAAGCGAAGAAGGTGTTGCTGTGCTCCACGATGCCCTTGCCTGCATGTTCAAGTTTAGCGACGATGTTTCTTTGGAGGCGAGAAAGGACAAGGTAGGCGCTACCCCGGCGTTCTGGAAACCTGGATGACTCTCTTAGGTAGTAAACTGACTCCGCCCTTAGTTGACGCTTACAACCCTCAACATCTCCAAATCGGCATATGTCTGTTTCTCTTTCGCCGCCAATAGGTTCTTTTCGCGATACAGCTTTGAGGGAACTCCCCAACATCGAGACCGCTTTTTCTGCCAGTTGTACATCAGGGTATGACTTCTCCCACATACCCACGGCGTATCCACGACGTATCCTAACTCGGCAATCCCAGTCACTCCTTACCATCTTCAGAGCCCGCCAAGGGAGCGGAGATCAGTCCAAGGAAAGGGATGCCTCGATAGACCGGTGTGATGTGGCCATTGATGACGGTGCCGGCAAGAAGAGCCGTCTCGTGGCCAGAGTCTCCTTCAGAAATGGTATAGCCCCTCTTCCTCTGAGATCTGTGACCTAGGTGCTGACCAGCGAAGGTATCACGGCTTCGCACTCGCTGCCGTATGAAGTGAAACCCCCTACACACGCCAAGTTTAACCAGGAGGAAGCCGAACACCACTGGTCTATTTCATCCAGGACGTTACGGCAATTAATGGACCACTTCGGCCCAGGCATAGAGCTTCTCGACATCAACACAGATGACGAGGCCCGAGTCGTAAACTTCACATGCTTTACGGAGAAGGTGCAGAAGCGCGGCACTGTCAGCAACGAAGGTGACGGCATTATCTCATATTGATCTGAAGGAGCTCGCGCTGACCAATATCAGCTGTTCTCAAGAAGCCCCTCCACACTAACATTGCGGTCGAGATGGACGAGTTTGATGGCGTAGAAGTCCAAAATAAGCTTCACATCATCATCAGCGTCAAGGACTTCCGCGCCATCCTCCAGCACGCTCAAATGACCAGCGGCGCGCTTGCAACCAGCTATTCAAACCCTGGGCGCCCCATGAAGCTGTCCTACAGCACTGATGGCGTTCTATGCGAGTTCATCCTCATGACGGTTGGCGAGAAGGACGCCTTGACGCAGAAGCATAAGAACACACGGGCGAGCGCCGCAAGAACCCCCGCGCCACCTCTTGATTCTGCATCACACCGGGGGAGCTCCGCCGCAAATGACAACAAGCCAGACCCGCCTGCGTCTAGGCCGCCACAGCAAAAGACGCCCATCAGGCCCCGCCACCACGCTTTCGAAATGCGGCCATCGCCGATGCCGCCTCCCGCCACGGCTCGGTCCGAATCGCTATTTGTCGAGCAAAACGAGGACGACGAGCAATGGGAGCCCGTCAACCCAGACGAGGAAGAGGAGGAGGAAACTGGGAGGCTGGAGTGGAATGCCACCAATGAGCCGGTACCTTCTCTGCCCCGTCCTTGTCCGCGGCCTTCGCTAACTAGGAGTAGAATCCGTCGACTCTACGCGTCGGAAGTTATTTGTCCAAGCAATCCGAGGCTCCAAAGGCGCTTCCCGATCGGCTTGCCTCAGGTCTTGAGCCAACCCAACGGTTGTCCGAGGTATGTGTAACACCTGTCTCGCCCGAGATGCTATCCAGCTGACTTGTACAGGTCCGTCGGTTCGGCTTGTTCTCCCCTTGAATTAACAACCGCAGTGTCCAAGGTCAACTTGCTTTGCGTTGCGTGGCTTCGGCGTTGGTGATGGTGAATTGGCTGCTCTTTTAATGATACCACGGCATAGTTTACGTTGGCTTCTCGAAGACGATCCAGCTTGTTGCACAACCGGCGCCAATCATGGTGATTTCCATCCCTTCCCCCGTTGAAGCAATCTTGTTTCGCTCTCCCTTCTCTCCGTCTTGCTTCCGAATCGGACCACAGTTGCCATGCTCGCCCCAGCCCCAAACCATCACATCACCAGCCTCAGTCAACGCCAACGCGTGCTCGCTCCCCACAGCAATATCCCGGACCCGCCCAATATCCTCGCGCGCCAGCTGCCCATGGTCATCCCTCCCCCAACTCACCAACTCCCCATCCTCCTTCAACACGAACACGCTCCCCCACCCAGTAAGTCGCTTTGTGCAACCAGAAATCCCTCTACTATTGCTATGAAAGCAACACCTGATTATTCGGAGGAACCACTCGAATTGGTTCCTCGCCTCCGCCGCCTCAGCTATGCTGCCTGCATCCCACCTGAATGCATTCTTGAGGTGTGCTTAAAGAAAGATCATGTCAAGTATACGCCGAAAAGGAAACAAGAGAATTGCCTCTCAGTCGTATTCCTTTTCCATGCAATGGATTCGCCATTCTGGCAGATGATATCAAACGCTGCTCTCCTTATGCAGGGGCGCCGAATCTTTCAGGCTTCTCGGTTTCTACGCGCGGGCCTTCG